AGCAGACCAGGCTGCCCAGAGCCACATCCAGCCTGGCCTTGGATGCCTGCAGGGATGGGGCATCCACAGCATCCTTGGGCAACCTGTTCCATTGCCTCACCACCCTCCGTGTGTTGTTTGCACTGCCTGTGACATTGACAAAAATGCTGAAGAGCACCAGTCCCAGGATGGACCCTTAGGGGACACCACTCACGACTGGCCTCCACCTGGACTCAGAACCGGTGATAACAACCTCTGGCTGTGACCATCAGACCAATTATTTACCCACAGAATGATTCAGCCTTCATATCCATCTCTCTCCAACTCAGAGATAAGGACGCAATGTGGGAACATGTCAAATCTCTATTGTAGAAAATGCTGGCATAGAAAATAATCTCCTTTATTCAAAAGTTTACGGTTAAAAGTTCAGCCCACATGAAGATAGAAGCTTCACATCTTTTGGTAGCTATCTGGAGCTCTGCTTCTACGTTTCTAATAAAATTGGAAACACGACAAACCTAGCTAGCAACGCTAACCTTAGAGTCTAAATCATGAAAAAGGAAGGTAGCAATTTCACATTTCCACTGCTGTCACTGTCCAAGGAGGTGACTAGGCTGCATTATTTTCAACAGCTGAAGTCATCAGGGCCCAAACTGTTTAACTGTACAGGAAGACCAGCGTGTTCTGACTCAGACTGCTTGCTTATCTCTGTGGCTGAAAGGAAAAACTGAAATCTTCCATTGAGTGCAGCAGTCAGCTCCTCCAGCTGACACAAGGCCAAATGTTCTATTTCACTCAATGATAAATAAAGCATGGGGCAGATCTGCTAGGTTTACAAATTGCTGGAGGAGATGGTGTCTGCAGACTGCCTTTCCTTTGCCCTCTTCTACTACATGTGAGAGGAATCCAAAGTGAGTTCTTCCTCTGCCTGGGGCATTTGGAGCCCACACAGTCAGATCCGATACTAGGAGAAAAATTCTAAGAAAGAGTGGTGAGGTGCTGGAATGGGCTGCCAGGGAGGCGGTGGAGTCATTGCCCCTGGAGGTGCTCAAGGGACATGTGGGTCTGGCACTGAGGGCTGTGGTTGTGGACGTGCTGGTGGTGGGCTGATGGCTGCACTTGGTCTTTTCCAACATGAATGATTCTATGATTCTGTGATTGCCCTGAGAACGAAGCACGTCCTGTTTCTGCTCATGGCTGTACCTCTGGCTTCCTCCAAACTGCAGTAAGGAAGGTGTCACCAGAGAGGAGGGTGTGCTGGGGACTTTTTTCAGTTTGGGAAGAGCAAAAAGCAGCACACCGAGAAGACGGTATTCTTATTTCCTCCAGCCCGTCCTATGCCTGAAGCATGGTCTGAGCTCCTTCTCCACAGCCTCCACAAGACATGTGCCCTCTTCAGCTCGCCTGACATTTGCAAAGACTGCCGCAGGCACTCTCTGTCTGGGGGCATCACATCCAAAGCCTCCTCCCAAGACTTCCTTGTCAGGGTCC